GAATTAGGCTTTAATGTATGTTAATTCGGCTTTAATGGTTCTATTGGACTTTAATGGTTCTTATTGAATTTTTTACTTGATCTATTGGATTTATTTGCTCGTATTGGGTTTTTATGGATCTATTGGGCTTTATTTGATTGTATTGGTCTTTAATGGACGTTAGTTACTTAGTTGTGCTTTAATGGATATATTGAGCTTCAATGGATCTATCGGGCTTTAATGGATCTATTGGGCTTTAATAGATGTGAGTTGGACTTTAACGGTTTTATTGAACTTTAATGGATCTATTGGGATTTAATAGATATATTGGGCTTTATTTGATCGTATTGGGCTTCAATGTCTATTGGGCTTTAATGAATCCATTGGACTTTAATGGATGTTAGTTGGACTTTAACATTCTATTGAACTTTAATGGATACATTGGGCTTTATTTGGTCGTATTAAACTTTAATTGATCTATTGGGTTTTAATTGGTCTTATTAGACTTTAATGGATATATTGGGCTTTATTTGATCGTATTGGACTTCAATGGATCTATTGAGTTTTAATGGATATTAGTTGGACTTTAATGAATCTATTGAGATTTAATGGATATATTGAGCTTTATTTGATCATATTAGGCTTCAATGGATCTATTGGGCTTCAATGGATCCATTGGGCTTTAATTGATGTTAGTTGGGCTTTAATAATTCTATTGAGCTTTAATGGTTTTTATTGAGTTTTTACCGGATCTATTGAGCTTTATTTGATCGTATTGGGCTTCAATAAATTTATTAAGCTATAATAATAATAATAATAATAATAATAATAGATTTATGTATATATATATATATATATATATATTGATATGGTAGTAGGTTGTCATTTATATGCCCATAGACATGATGTAAAAAAAAGATTAGGTATTTGATTGCTTGATATTATTTATTATTACATGGATGGTGCAAAATGTTGTCCCTATGCAATCTCCATTTACTTGTAGCTTTTAGCATGGACGATCCAAGCCATATATTGTTGATAATTAATGGCAAAATTGGGGTGATTGTAAGGATGATGGAGAGTATGATGCAATGCATTACTTCATTAATTGGAAATGTGTATGAAATATAAGGATTTGACATGTTTATTATAATGTGTGTTTTTTTTAATGGATTCATCATTTAGATTTTATGTTTATGAGTAATTTTAATTTTAATTTTCGTCTTTAGAACGAAATAAAAAAAAAAGAACATAAGAAGACCGTTACGTCTTCAATGTTTGTTTTTTGGTCGATATTGCACACCTCGATTTGACCAAATTTACATCTTCAATGAAGAAACCTCCAATTTTTAAAAGAAAAGAGAAAAATATAACATATTTATTGATGATACTCTAACATATATAATTACATAATGCCATTGCCAACTTTCAATCAAATTTTGAAAAGTTAATAAAATACCCCCAATTGGGCCTTGTCCTCCCTCACGTTTTCATATTATCATCCACATAGCTTTGTTTCTTCTGCTTGAAATTTTGAAAAGTTATTAAAGTATCCTCACGTTTTAATAAAGTACCCTTAATTGAACTTGAAGTATCGTCGGATGAAAATATGGATAAGGAACGGGTTTTCCAGGAAAATGATAGAATAACCCAAGCTGGGGGGAAACGAAGATGTGCAAGAACTCATTCATCTTGTCATAGGGGAAGACGACATCGAAGTTGCCAATGATCGTCGCAACAACTGGCATGTTGATGAGAATAGTGATGAAGAAGAGGAGTTCCAAGACTCGGATAGTGACTCTGACGACGAAGAACTTGACTTGTCTGATCACTCCTCAGATGATTAAATACTATGTTAATTCTAGTCTTAGTAAACTTTGTCTAGTAGTTTTAAATCTTTATCGTTTCCATGTTTTAAATCTAAGTAAACTACTATTCGACTTTTGTTATTGTGTGGAATCTAACATTGTGTTGTATATTTGAATTATTGTTGTATTTTTTCCAACGTGGCTTTGTAGGAAAAATCGACAATGTCGTGTACTCGGATTACCGATAGAGGTACTGGAAGTACACCTAGTCGCGGTACGGGTAGAGCCTCTAGAAGTATTTTGGCACACTCGGAGGAGATATGGTAGCGCTGCTCCGGAGCCGCTTCCACAGCAGCGGACAGTCATTGGCATTCGCAGCAAAAAGTAATACATTTATATATTTTAATTGATAAAAATAACTGTTCTTTGTATGGATGCTAATTCAATATTATTTATATAGCTTTAGTGACACCAGAGTCATCCATCAGATCACCAAGATAAACCAAGAGTTGCTTGATAAACCAAGAGTTGCTTGACAGGCCATGGATCACTTGGGAAAAAATCCCTAGGGATGTGAGACGTCGAATGTTAGAGCGGTTCCAGGTTCATAGTATATATTCAACTTATTATATTTTTGCAAAATAAAATTGAGCTCAAGAATTGACTAAACTTTTACGTACAATGCTACTACACTTGGGATCCGGCTTTGGACGCCATTCAAGAGACATGGGAGAGAAGCCATATAATGACAACTTGAGTGCCACGAGGAAGAAATCTGGAGAAAAAGCAAAGAAGAATGGGTATCCTCAATACGATGAAACCGACCCACGCCAGGATATGAATGTGTTGAAGAACTTCCCCCGAGTTGGATCTCTTCAGATGTGTAGAGCCAGATGGTCGATCGTTGGGACAATGACAATTGGAAGGCTATTCTCGGGGTGGCGTGTGAGAACCGTGATAGCCAAATTGCGGTACACACCGATGGTTCGATCCCATTTTCAGAGCACGATACTCACCTGCTAGGACCTAAAACCCTTACTTTAGTAGCTTGATTTTTAATATGTTATAATTAACACATGTTCGTATTATTTGACATTTGTAGACACAGGCAAAAGACGACGTGCCATCGACCATTGTAGAATTGTTCGATTATACACATAAGAAGGGGTCAAATGGAGAGGCCGCATCTTTGGATTATGGGGGGTACGTGACCTCTAAGTGTAGCCAGGTTATGGTAAGTATCTATCTATTTTAATGTTTATAATTGAGTACGTAACCATCTATCTAGTTTAGGTTGCCATTAATTGTTGGGCAAACATTCGAGTCGTTTAAATTAAAATCTAAGTGTGTGTGTGTGTGTATCTACTTTGGGTTGTCATTTGTTGGGCAAACATTAGGATTGTTTAAGATAAAAATTTCATATGTATCACTATTTAGTTTAAGTTGTCATTTGTTGGGCAAACGTTAGTATTGTTTTGCTAGAAATTTTGTATGTATCATTATTTAGTTTAGGTCATCATTTATTGGAAAAACGTTAGGATTGTTTTAGTTGGAAATGTTCCATTTACCGCTGTTATGCAGTTGAAATTGACTTGTAATCTTTTTTAAACCATAAGATGACTATTCAATGAGTCTCACCCAAAGATACGACGATGATCCCTCCACCTATCCCTTAGTTGATACAGAGTTGTGGGAACAGGCAGTTGGAGGAAGCAAGAAAGATCGTCTATTTGGGTACAACCAGGATCCCAATTGGGTCTTGACAGGGAACTCCACACAGGGTGGTCCATCGTCTTCAGTTAACCGAGTGTGTGCCTCTTTTTCTTTGATAATATTTATCGATTTAGTTTATAATTCATATTAAATATTATAACGTTTTCTTTATATATAGGAAATTGACACCTTAAGGACCCAGGTTAGAGATTTACAGGAATGGACGGAGGAGAAGCTTTGACGGGTGGAGGAGGAGTTTTGGCGGGCAGAGAAGGAGGAGCGTCGACGGATGTTGGAGGAGAGACGGGATAAACAACTTGAAGAGATAACTGGTTTGGTCAAGCAGGTCAGTCAATCTCAGTAGTTCCCGCCGTCACAGTAATGAATATTTGTTTGTTTTGGAACAATTTAGTTTTTGTTTGAAACAATTTTGTGCTACTTTGGTAGGGATAATTGTATTGGACATTTCTTGTTTTTTAGTTTAATATATGATATTTAGCGGCATTTTATCTTTTTAGTTTTTTTTAATATTTACAGGATTTACATGTTTTAAATACAGGTTTTTTAGGTTTTAAACATTTACAGGAAAATTATTTTCTACAGTTGGGTGATTTTTCGGCGGATAAATCCGCCGGAAATATTTACAGAATAAAAATAATAACTTTAAAAATTAAATTAAATTTCCGACGGATTTATCAGCTAGTAATTTAATTCGTTTTTTTTAAATCTTATGAATAATTTCTTAATTTAATTAAGATATTTTAAATAAATTCAAAAAAAGTCGGCTAATTTCCAGCGGCCATTTTTCACCGAAAAACCAAAAATCCGTCGGTAAATATGTTAGAAAAAAATCAGCGCCGCCTCATCTTTCGGTATCCGTATCCACCGGAAACTCTGTTTTACGGCGGATATGATCGCCAGAAAAGATGATCAGTTTGGTGGTTCCATCAAAATGGATTGTTCGTAACAGTCTCTTACTCGGTAAGCGCTAATAGAGTAAGAGTCTTCTCCCTCTCTTACCAAGGAAGAACCTCGGTTATTGCCATGACTATTACTGGATAAGATTAACGGTTCTTTCCATACTCACCTAGTAAGGTAAATGATCCAGTATGCGTTTACGTGGTAAAAATTTGGTAAACAACCCCCCAACTCTCCAATTTAGAGTGGAAGTACCAAGTCATCAATCACCTCATTATTTGCTTAAAAACGCATCTATATTCTTACAAAAAAGTGTATTGTTCATCAAAAGAATATCCTTCTTAGACTGAAAATGAGCGAAAGACAAACCAACACATGCATCATAACCATGTCACTTATAACAAATTTGATTGATTTATTGTATCATCAACGGTAAAATGTTACGAGATCGAGGGAATAAAACTCATATCAAATAAGCCCAAAGAGCTAATCCTTATTAACCATACAATACACATACCTTATAGAGCTTCTTGATCGGACTCAAAATGCACCTTATTTCCTGATGCCCAAACCAAGTTAGGTGAACCAAACCAAAGCAAGCAACGACTAATTAAGGGCGCCTATATGCAATGGATTGAGGGTGCGCTAAAGGTTCTTAATTTCCAAACGTCATCTCAACTACCAGACTCGTTCTTCTTTGTTGCATTATCGACTTTGCTCTCATCCAACAACCTTGCAGCCTCGTTATCCAGCTTCCTTTCTGCTTCCCTAGCCTTAAGTGCCTGTAACTTGGCATGATTATAATAAGCAACACCTAAGAAAGCAATCGCATAACCGAGGAGATTAATAGGAGTGACGGTATCCTTAATCACAGACCAAGAAAACGCAATCAACAACCAATCTTTGACAACCCCAGCCACATTCATAGTCAAAGCAGAAGTCTTTCCAACAAGCAAAAACACAGCAAGATTCAATGCAAAAGCACAGAAAGAATTGGTACCAAATACCAAGTAATCGAAATGGAAACTTGAAGCCTCACTTAACACTGGGTATTCCACAATCATCCATGGAACAGACAAGAAAACCAAACAACAAGGGGAAACGTAGTAAAGAGAAGTAATGGGATTAAACGTAATACCCTTTGAGCTCAATAAGATTTGAATCAAAACCAAACGAGTAGCCTCAAAAGCAACTGCCCCAAGCTGTAATGTAACACCCCATGCATTGAATTGGGCTTCGCCATATGCTGCAACTGCAACACCGGCGGAGATTGATAACATATTCGTCATGGTTTTGGCTTTAAAGCTTTCCTTTTTTAACAAAACGCCAATGGAGTAAACGGCAACAGGCATCAAGGCTTTAAGCATTTGAATAAAGGAAACAGATAGATAAATATAGGCGGAATTAGAAAGCCATAAGCTAAGAGAATAGAGCAAACCAATTGGGACGACAGATGTGATATAAACGTCACGAGTCATCTGAACTGGTTCGACGACTTTCAAGATGCTAACGAGGATGTAAGCTAAAGAAGAACAGAAACCCATGTGGATCATGGTGAGTGAGATAGGGTAAGGCCAATTGTACATCTTGCGATCGAGGATGTACTTGTTGTAGATGATGACGGTGAAACTGAGGAAGATCCATATGGCGACATAGGTGTAAGAAAGAATTATGTTTTTTAATACGCCTTCACTCAAGGCTCCTCCTTTCCCCATGGATGTACGTGATAGGATTTTGATTCAGATAGAAATCCCTTACCCTAATTTGCCGATTGTCACTGTATCTTCTTGGAGATTTGCGATTGTTTGTGTGATTAGGTTTTCAGTAAGAGAAACGCGGAAAATCGTTGCGTTTTCATAACAATCATATACGGCCAAGAGGGCATAATTTCCTAAAATGAATAAAAATAGTCCATTGTTTTCATATTTCATGTTTTCTATTGGTAGAAGGTATAATTTCCAAAAATAACCCCTTAAAGTTAATAAATTAAAATTTTAACCCCATTATTACAAAACTCATAAAATGACCTTGAGTTACCCTGTTAGCACCGTTATGTACGTACATGGACCCTTTTGTAATTAATGAAAGTTACGATTTAAAAAAAAAAATCTAGAGGTTGGTCCCACCCATATGCACCACGCACCCTTTGGTGCATAAGGGCCCCACAATTAATAAAAATAAAATATTTATTTTTAATTTAATTTTTTTTTAAAAATTCTTAATTTGTTAATGAATTTAATTTATAAATATTTTAATTTTTTTACCTTTATTTTTTTTAAATTATAAATTTTCTTAGAATTATAACTTTTTTTTTTACAAATT